GGTGGCGGGGGTGGAGGAGAACCGGGGCCGGGCGGGGGTCAGGCCACCTTTCCACGCCCGCGCCGGGAGGGACTTTCCCGGCCGCCTTCTCCCCCGGCAGGAACGCTGGAGGCAGCGTTAAGATGGCTCTGTTGTGGGGGATGTGGGCACTGTCGTTTCCCTGCTTCGTTGCGGTGCTTTTAATGAGCTGGGTTGTATTTACCTGCGGTCCCTGCGGGGCGGAGCTCTATGTTGGCTTCCTTCCCTTGTACGTGCTGACATTTGTGCTTTTGACCCACCTGTTGCGTCCTCGTCCCTTTCTCGCCCTGGTACCAGAATGAGATAGATGAACTGAGAACAGAGATGGACGAGATGAGGGACAGTTTCTTTGAGGAGGATGCTTGTCAGCTTCAAGAAATGCGCCACGAACTGGAGCGAGCCAACAAGAACTGCCGGATCCTTCAATACCGGCTGCGCAAGGCCGAGCGCAAGAGGCTTCGCTATGCCCAGACCGGCGAGATTGACAACGAGCTCATACGCAGCATGGAGCAGGACCTCAAGGTACAGACATGAGCAGGTGTCGAAGGGAGGGAGAGCCTCAGATGGAGACACAACTGTGTTCTCAGTCCTCATGAGTCAGGCATTTCCATCCATTTCACTGTGCACCCAGTGCGCCTCATAGAATAGCAATGGCCGAGCTATCCTTGGTAATAGAAGCCCTTCCACTATGGAGATAGGCTATTTTCAGCTTCAGTCCAACCTTTTTTTGTAAAGATAATGTGCAAGAAATTATTCTAATGCAATTTAGGAACTAAAAGTTTTGGACCCTTTATGCTGAATGCAAAACATACCCTTCCACTGCGAAATGAAACCAAACTCACTGAATAGCTCCATTGACTTTGAGGGGATTTTGTTACTCTTTAGTAAAAGATTTCAAGGGATTGAATACTTACAGAGTCACAACATGAAACCCTGACGCTTTTGCTGTCAGTAAAAAACTGCTGTTACATCCAGCAAATCCAGGATTTTCCACATCCACCTGAAACCTTAGACAAAACCCATCAGATTTCAATGTGTAATCAACTGCATTTCATCCATAAAGTACGAATGAACCGCAACCCGTTGTTGAGGAGAAGTTTCAGTCCTTGTTTAAAGATTGTCATTGGTAAAATAACCATCATCTCCAGTCTAAATTGGTCCAATTACAGGGGAAAAAAAAACTTTCTTGAGGTAGTTGCAAGTTTAATTTCTGCTTCCATCCACTAGACTTTGAAAGGCTCCTGCTAAACCAGGACTTGTAAATTTTTTCAGTTGACTGGTCTCCCACCTTTTCTCATGGAAGTGTAGACCTCTGTATAGCAAATGCGAGCTTACTGCCTGCACTTCTGCCCAGGATTCTAGTTACCTATGGTGCATTGGATTCTGTGAACTGCAGATGATAATGCAAATTTAATACATGATTTGGAGTAAGGTAAATTTTAAACTTCTTTCTGATTGGTATAGCGGATTGAGAGTATGTTATTCCCAGGCCTGGTTTGGATCATCTTTTCTGAAAGTTTTCCATCTTGTCATCATTCTTATTAAAATTTCTATTTGATATTCCTTTTCTGTGCATAATCAAACCCCATGTTTTCTGTTGTGACTGTGACAGTTCTAAAAATACGACTGCCCACATGGCTCTTAACAAAGAGTGTTCCTGGCCAGAAGTGAAAACATGCCTTTGTCATGGGGATTTCTGTTCGAAACAAGGGATGTTCTGCACACTCAGAAAGATGCTTAGGTGCTTAGTTGAGATATGCACCTTTGCAGGCAGAATTTGAATGTGAGCCTTCATGTTCCAAGTGAATATTGTGATTCCAGCTTATAGAGTTGGCTTCTTTGTTGGCTCAATGTTACTTTGTATTGGCAAGTCATACACATGCAGGTGAGCCAGGGAAGTGGTGAGAATACCTCTGCTGACGTTCTTGCCTGCCAATATAGGAGATAGCAGCTAAGGCCTTAGGTTGAGCTGGACAAAGGGCTCACTTTAATTAGCATTTTTCCCATGGTTTTATATAACTATATGACTGACTCTTTGGGAAGGAATAGTGTTTTTGCAGAATGTTCCCAAGGATCCTGAATGTGTTCTGCTTTGGAGTAGGGATGAATGCCAGATTGTTGCCTAATAGAATTCTAGGTGCTGGCTAACCATAATAACAATTCATGTGCAGGTATCTGTAGCGTTCCCAACTCCTCTTCTGAAGAATGACTATCGAAAATAACATTCTTCATTTTGCATGGACAATATATTAGAGGACTTGATCCTTCATAGATATAGTCTTGCATGTAGCTGTATTAAAATGTATCTTGCATAACTGACTCCCATTTCCCATGTAGCCTAGGATGCTCTGTAGGATTTCCCTGCATTAATAGCTACTCCATCACATTTTGTGTCAAAACATTTGCTACCAGTAATGATATTTTAATTTGATTTTATTTACCTATCCAGGCTGTATCTATGGACTGAAGACAGATTCTGATAGGCTGCTGTTTAAAATATCCCCCATGATTTTCCATTTACTTTGATTGGACAACCAGATGAGCAGTTTAACACTAAGTGTAGGAAAAGACATCAATCTAAAGCCCTGTGGTGTGATTCTCAGCTCATTCTGTAGTCTCTTTGGAGTATGGCTATAACTGAAGTTCCCCTCCACTCACGCTCTCTATTGGGCATTATGTATCTTGAGTGCATGTGCAGTGGGGGAGGTTGGTGTTGTATCTGTAATTCACACACACTGGGTTTCTTGTCAGGGGAGGCTGAGTCACTAACTGCTACTGTTTTCTGGTTGGATTCTTCTAGGTTGATTCTTCTAGACTGCTTGCTTATGATTATTATTTTTCTTTAGTGTTTTAGTATGTCAAAGAAGTCTCCAACATACTAACATAAAGATCATTCTAGTCAAAACCATGAAGGATAGCTCACTGAGCTCCCCTAGCTAATGCTAAGTAGGATTAATTATGCTTTCCCATGTTCTAAAAAAAGCAGAAAATTAGGCTTTTCAAATCATGTGTCTATGTTTATAAATCACCACCATAACAGTGATTAGTGTATATTTAAATATTTTTGGTGTGTGATTATAGTTTCTAGTGGTTCTACAAAATGCAGTGCAAGTGCCTTGGAGGGCAAGATTCTCATTACTTTCTATGAAGAAGAGGAGTCAGATCTTGTCATATGCCTTTAAACTCTATTCCTGTGAAAATGCATTAAAAAAAAAACCTTAGTGTTCATTTTCATTGAAAATATTGGACATCATTTGGGTGAACACAAGGTCAGTAAAAATATTGTTTGTTCTTATTTTAATCTTAAAATGAATTAATTGTAGTGAATATTTAGATTAATTGTCCATGAAGGAGAGAGAAACTA